TATTTTAGATCGGACTACCACAGTTCATGGTAGCCTGGCACGATTCCAGTAGCTTTAAACTTATCAAAGAGTATTACTTGTCTCCACAGTAAGGAAACTCTAATTTATGTCAAATTAGGATATCTTGGAGATTAGGCAAAGTAATCATAATCCTAGGAGGATTGAATATTTTATCCTAGATTCTCACATAAATAATGTCCCAATTTAATAGGGATTGCTCTCTCAAAGAGCTATGTTAGTGTGGGCCTCTCTAACTTTTTATTTTTTTTATAAGGGAAATACATCTCTAATCATCTGAAATAATCAATACACATTCTCCCAACAAGGAACTTGACATATTCTGAACACATGGTTAAATGAATGGCACCCTAAATCTCTAATCTGCGGACAGCTAGCTCTGTAATTCTCCTACTCTATCCATCTGCCGTCAGGGATAACCAATTCCATATCTAAGAGGAAGAAGAAGAAATGATGCTATAGAAGGAAGGCACCTCTTTGCCGAGATAAGAGTCGAGAGAGCGTAAAGAGAGAGAGAAAATGTATAAAGAAAAAGGGAAGGGGAAAAAATAACAAGTGCTACTGCCTTCCTTTTTTTATTTATTTATTTATTTTTTTCTAACTCTATTTATACTACACGAATAAATCCTAGTATAGATGATGAATCCAATAAAATAAAATAGCACACAAGTTACACACAAAAAATAAAATAAAAATTCGACCGAAAAATAAAAATAAAAACATTAGTTAAAAACAACTAATCATATTATTTAACAATAAAATTAAATTAGAGTCTTCACAAATCCATATATGATCTGAATATGATGTATTCAATAGGATATTAATCGAGACATCCAAGCCGATTATCCAAATAGATCTGAATCCAATCTAAGTACAACGGGCAAAGTTATTGCTTATTATCTCTGTCAAAAAGTTGTGTCCTTGTATGTTATTAAATTTTTCTTTGTGTCCTTGTCTGTCACAATATCATTGATAATACTCAAAAGCCCACACCCATTTTGGGCCTCCAAGAAAGTCCTCATTCTTAGTTCTTGTATTTCATTGGCTAGAGAATGACAATGCTTTCATTTATTGTGCCCGAATTTTCTAAACCCAAAAAATAAAAGACCAGCAAGAATTAAGGCTAAAATGCTGATTTATTCTCTGAACTTTCGCTTAATTTTCAGTTTCCCTTCTAAATTTTTTTGATTGGAAAATCAAGGACTTAAACTAATTTTTTCAGCCAATTTCCATCTACTGTTAGTTTTTCATAGATTCCATCCAAATTAACGTTAACTCTTATCACGTGCACACCACATAACTCTCATTTGAGGACAAAAGTGTCACTTCACTAGATCTTCAGACACAAAAGCTATAAAATCACACAGATTTGCATAGGTTGACCTTCTAGAAATCTAGGGTTTTTAATTATTTTAAAGAACAAAGTGACCGAACTATCCTCACATATTGTGCACATGCTTCCATTTAACAGAAATTTGGATGGAATGAATAAAAAACTAATAGCAAGGGGAAATTGGCCAAAAAAATTAGTTAAGTCCTTAATTTTCCAATTGAAAATTTTAGGGGAAAATAAAAAGTTAAGGGAAAGTTCAAGAGGAAATCGACAGTTTACTCTAAAAATTAAATAGGATAAGATTCAAAGTTTTAGATGGATGGAACACACTTCACATCAAGGTTTGGGGAAAGACTTGAGTCCTGTCTTTGGTGGCATGCCTTTCCCCTTTATTGCTAACCAAAGGATAAAAATCATTCTTTGAAATTATTTTTCATACTTGGGCTGTGTTGTAAATGACCTTGAGCTAATTGGACGTGAAAGTTTTCTTCTTCTTCTTCTTCCGCCTATTGGCAATCCTTCGGCTCTTTAACACATGCATCGTTGAAATTGAACTCAAGAGTCAAGACACCATTTATGAAGGAAATCCTGAAAGAACATATTACATCTTGTGACTCTCTCTCCCTATGCTTTTTGATAGGAACCTTTTTTGTTTGCATAACCCATCCTTTTTTACCTTACTAATGTTACCCATTTTTTTTTTTTTTTGATACAGCTAAAGGAGTAAGAGAATAAATTGGTAGTGAACTCGTCATTTTTAAAATTCAAACTTTGCTAATGTCGGCTAAATTACCAAATATGTTTTGTAATGCATTTCTTATTAATGTAGCTTATATTGTTTGGTACTTGATATCCCTCATCCAAACACAACATAATTAATTTTTAAGTGCCCTAGTAAAGAAAAATTGAAATAACTAGAGCCTAAGTGGTAAGAGTAAGACGAATGGTAAATCAAACTGGAAGCACAATTCAACTCTGCCGATCGAGCGGGCTGTAAACTGTTTCGTCGGCCTTTTTGTTTCCATTGGTAGAGGGCAATCGAAAAGCACTAAAATAATGAGCTTCTAGATTACAGCACGTCGCTTTTGGTGTCTTATATTGTGGAGAACGTTTTGATGGGTTTCTTTGAAAAAGTTGGCTGAGAATCATTGACGTTTAAGGCACAACACCACCACCACACTTTCATTGTCCACGGGGTCGGTAATGGATATATTTCTCCTCCTCCAGTCTATGCTTTATTGTTTTATTTACTTATACCAAGTTGAATAATTCATAATAGTCCCATTATTTCTTTTGGAAAAAAAAAAACTCCTATTTTTGTTGATCCCTCATATTTCATTAGGTCTTTTCTTCTTCCTACTAACATTTATCTTCTAGCAAACTCAGTAAAAATTCAATACTAGTCATTTTGATTTAACAAAAAGAAAGAAAGAAGATACTGTATGTTGTATAAGCGACGATCATAAGAATATTTCACTAATCATTTTAACCATGGTGTAAGATTATAATTCCACTTGAAAGATTTTACACTGGATGTGGTTATACCTTTTATTACGTTATTAGTGACATGGTAATATTATGGCATCGTATACAAATGAGAAACGTTGTGTCTGAAAATTATATTGTTTTTTTTTTCCCCAAAAGGGGACCAGCTGGGCTTTGCCACGACAATCTATCCTTTTTTTTTTTTGAGCCACAATCTATCCTTTCAGGGGCTGGGAAGATGCACATGTGCATTTCACTCACCTATGACCACCATCGTGTGATTCACCAGTGCCAAGAATTGAATCAACTCATGTCATGTGAAATACGAGCTTGGAATTCGTCCTCAACCACTGTGCCACCCCGTAGTGGTTGAAAATCATATTCCTTTTTTCAAGATTAACTAGTTCAAAGTAAATATTGCCGAAATAAAAACAAAAGAATTGTTATTGACACTCCAAAATTCTCATTTTGCACTCCAAATTGTGGTAGCAAAACATCCACTGTCTTCAATCTTGACAAATTTGTACCGATAAAACAATCAACACCTTTGATAAAGACCAAAGCCTCACACACCCACGAGGTGCCCTGGGGGGGGGGTGGATGGGTGGAGGGGGGCTCGGCCAATGGATCTTCGATGCCTAAGTTAGTTTATCTAAAAAGAGTAAGTGTTTAGGGTTTGTATGCATAGTAAAAAGCTTACTAAAGTTTGGTGGAGAATTGGTATTTATAGGGAAAATTAAATAAAATAGCTTCGAATATAATATTAGGCATGTAATTAGCAAATTTTAATTAGTTTAAAGACTAATTTTCTTGGAAAAATAGTTTATGGACTGAATTTTCACTCGGAGAATAATTCAACGGCTAAAACGGTAGTTCACCCTATACAGAAATGTTCTCTGGGTCACCTCCTCTAGTGAACAAGGAATGCATTATCACTCACCCTTAGATTTGATACAAGGGTTGGATATGCTTGCAATGTCTGAATGTTTTAATCTCATGATGATGGAGGTATCCTTGATTGATTATGATGAGGATTCCTTACTTGATTGAGTTGATCTTCAATTTGGAATGTATTAAAAATAAGATTTAGTAATTAGTCCTATCTTTCATGTCTTGTGACTTTTACATGTGACAAGTAGTGGAGCTTTAGTCAGTTGTTGTGTGCCCTATCTATTTAATGACGTCAATCTTGTCTTCTTCGGGATAAAGTCCACATGTCGCCTCTTGGATATGTGGGATTATTTTATGCTCCACACAAACTTTCTATATTTAGAAAAAAAATTACACCTTTGAAGAGTGCAAAATAAGATTTTTAGAATGTTAATAAAAGTTCCCAGAAAACAATTAAGAAAAATAAATAATTTTTTACAATTGTGAATGAAATTTCGATCATAATCTACCCCCCCCCCCCAAAAAAAAAACCTCCTCAAGAGTAAAAAATTTGATATTTTTTAGGGTTTACACTCGACACACAAACTTGATAGTTTAAAGTTGCATAGAAAATGTCAGTTAGTACTATAGTCTAGTGGTATTTTTTTTCACTTGTAAGTGAGAGGTTTTAAGTTCGATTTTCACTAAAGGCAATTTGAACCACATTATTGCTAAATCATTGTGATATTAAGCTCATCCTCCTTCCTCTTAGTGTGAATAATATTGTTTGTTTAAAAAAAAAAAAAAAAAAAAGTTGCATGGAAAATGCATGAATCGTTGGGGCAATATAGTGTGACTAATTATGGGAATAACATAATTAAATGAGTGAATGGAACAAGAAAAGCACACTTTCTGTCTTACCAGAAAACGGACCAAAGGGTAAGTTGAAAAGGGCGTTTCACCGGCCAAATTTAGCCACATGGCCCAAAACAAATGCTTCTTCGTCTTCCCATCTGGTTCTTCTGGCCCCAATCTATATAACCCCAGATCTCCCTCTCTCTTCTCCCATAGTCACTCTCTCTCTCTCTCTCTCTCTCTCTCTCTCTCTCTCTGTGTAAAGGAGAAAGAAGCTACAGGGAAGAAGCAAGAAGAAGAAAATAAGGGAAGAAAAAAGAAGGAATAAGTGGCGGGGTCCAGCTTTGGGCAAGCAAAGTCATCAGTAATGGCGCAGGACATAGAAGACAAGAAGCACTACTTGTTTCTCCACCACCCATTGCCCAATATTTCAGGTGCATTGACCAAAATGCCCTTCAAACGAAGGGTAGGTACCCTACATATGAAGTCGTTCCATTGATCCAATGAGGCATGACCAGAGGTCACTTTCAAACAAATCCCAAGGATGATTAAGTGGTAATCAATGAATGTAACTGATCTCTTATAGGTTTTGTGTAGAGAGAGTACCAACTCAACCAACACCATTCCTTGGTAGAAAGTTTAGAGGCAGACAGGATGGAGCCAGGCAATTCTAATTATAGTTTTCTCATGTATTTTTATTTGGTAAATTCCAAAGTAATTCTCCATTATTATTGTTCAAGATTTATATACACATATACCAACTACCCTTTAATTCTTCTGTGTGTGATTCTTCTAACTTCTTTTAATCCAAGGGAGGTGAAGAAGGAATAAGATGTTTAAAGCCTAATGGGTTCGTTGGTCGGTCATCGTCTTCATGGGTGAAAAGTTCATGGGAAGTATAAACAATTTATAATTAAGGGATCTGATTTAGTTCTGTATCTAATCTGAGCTTTTAATTTTCACTTTATCTCGTAATGATGATCGATGAGGCTGCTGCTGATTCTTTGTTGCATTTTCTTTCAGATATTCCCTTGAATTTCATCTGTTTAAATATGTGTAATTCTACTGGATTTATGTAATGAACTCGAGGCTCCTATTGGCTACCTAACAAACTAAGTCACGATTTTCTTATCATCCAAGTCATTATTGTCCGTTGATTAAATTAGATGATTGCATGATCTGTTTGTTAATTGTTAGATGACATTGTGTTCGTATTTAGTACGTATTTATGATCTATCTGATTGCAGGGATCAATATTCCAGACTACAAAATTTCCAGAAAGTTTTCTTGAATCCCTCTACCTCCCTCCTCCAGCTATACTATATAGTTCCGACTTGAATGCAATATTGTTTAGAGAAAAGATTTTTAAGGGCACCAACTTATTTCAGCGTCTAGTACGTACGTATAGATCGTTCGTCATTGTTATTGTCAATATTTATGTAAGTTTAAGATGAATCAAATATCAAGAAAATTATACATACTCGATGCTGTAGATGAGTGAATCACAGTCCAAATGTATTGACGAACAAACATCTGGAATGTTAGGTACAAATTTACATTTAGACTCATGAGCCTTGGCACTGCAAATCTGCAACATGTCTGCGCAGGATAGGTTTAGCTTTTTGAAACTGAAGTTAACCGCACCGACACTTTTGGATTGGAATTTCTGTGGAAGGGATATTGTGCAGGTGAAAGATACATAATTCATGTTTCTTTTAATTACTGGCTTCTCACGTGCTTGATAATAGATTATATATTTTTCATGGGAGAATTTCATTTGATGATATACATATATACTTCAGCTTTTATATACGTATAGGTTGCTTCCCAGCTCCTTCGTTTGTTCAGATATTTCTGCTGTATACATATCTGTTAGTCTTTATTTTAGGGTTCTTGAATCTTTCAAGTATTTTGAATTTTTAGAATGGAAATCGGCCTTCAATTATAGAGACTTTATTGTTTATTTTGAGGTGTGTGTGTGTATATAAAATATTCACATGCTTGTTCTATTATAGCCGTGTGTTATAGGGCAGTGCGTGTATGTTTTCTTGTCTGGCATCTTTCTGTCATGTTGTATACATAAGTCTGTCTATTCCAGGAAATCCAGGGTCAAGAAATGCGGCAATTTCCAATCATAATTTGCTTACGGTGATAGGAATGAACTATTTGCATGTATGAGCATAAAACTCATCCTATCCTTTTGTGTTTTTTTCTATTTCTCATGAATAATCAATCTATATAGGTCTGTATGAACATCAACAAGATATAGCCATATTATTTGAACCATATTCCTAAACATTTTATGTGCAGCTGACATGTCATTGCCATGTAATTTAGAAGGATAATATTAAGGAGACGAAATTTTTAGATCAAATTTTGTAAATCAAATGATGTGGCTATTGATAATTGAATTATTACTTAAGTGTTGATTAACATGCTTATTTCGTATTAATGACATATCATTTGATTTGCAAAGTTGGTATAAAATTTTGATCTACCTTTCATTACTCTTTAATGAATGAATAATTCTATTTTATGTCAAATTTTATTCGTTTCATAATTAAAATTGTTTATTCCTAGTATAACTTGAAGCCTCTCAATACTTGAAACACAAATGTGTTTTTTTTTTTTTTTTTGAACAAACAATATTATCTACACTAAGGAGGAGGGGATGGACTTAGCCTCACAATGAACTAGCAATAATGTGGTTTAAATTCACCTTTGGCGAGAATCAAATCTAAGACCTCTTACTTATAAGTGAAGAGGAATACTACTAGACCATAGATGGTTACACACAAATGTGTTTTTAGATTAAACAAATGAATGCATCAAATAATGGCTCTAGGGTTTCTAGGAGAGTCTCCCCCGTCTTGGGGCACCGGCGTCCTTTATGGGGTAAATCGAATGATTTTCATCCTTGTTTAATTAGGATGAGTGATTAAGGAAGATTATTGGTGGTGGTGGCGTAGAGTTGGCCATGGTGTTAAGTTTAGATTAACTAGTGGAGATAGAGCTAATTGGGCTAGTTTGTCTTGATTATTGGGCTCGGGTTTCCGTTTGATTTGTTCAGCAATTGGGGCTGGGTAATTCGTAGATTTTGTGTAGAAGGGAGGGTTTGTGATCCTTAGAAGATGATTCGTCTGTTGTCATGGTTTGGCATGCTTACCCTGAAACCAGTGTTGTTTGGGTTTAGGTGTTTGAGATCTAATATTAAGGCTATTTAGGGTTTTATAGGTTAAGTTGTTTCCGGTGCGTGGGATTAACTAAGTTTAGTGGTGTGACACTTGGGTTGCCTGCCTTGATTAACATTTTATTTTGTTACAATTTTATTTTCGGTTTTTATGTGATATTTTAATTTGCCTGCACATTTCTGTTTGGTGGTTAATTTCAATAATTATAAGAGATAGGTATATGTTCGTTTCTTGTGCTTATTTTTGTGTGTTGTACTTGAGTGTGCGGCGTTGGTTTTGGAGTAATGTCATCATTAGTTCTAGTTTGTTGAGTCCTAGAATCAATAGTTGGCACTTTTCCTTCATTATAATCCCATCTAGGGGTTTCAAGTGTTTTCAAGGAAGCTTGCATGCGGAGGCGCCTCCTTTTTTGACCGTTGGATACCTTCAAATCTCAGCTATTCAAGTTGGTGGTGCCGTCTGTTGGTTCACTCACTTCTGTCTTCTAGCCTTTTATCCTTTTGTCCTTCTATTTCTTTTCCAATGGCCAACTCTCAATTTGCTGCTTTCAGTTCAAACCTAACCAGGAAAACCAAAATCTGTTCTAACCAATATATTCCCCGTTGGGCTAACGCTTTTCCGGTTCCTCAACCCGGGGAGGATCGTGTAGTGGTGGATAAGGCATTTGGTACCTTCAGAAGGAGCAAGGGGTTACAAGGGTTAGTACCAGTCTGTGTTCTACTCTTAATGTTGAGCACATGCAAGCTAGAGTTCTGATGGGAAATATGTTTGGGCAACCTTTGGAGGCAAGGTTAATCAAGTGGAAGCTAGGGCTACTTTGGAAAAATGATGTTAAGCACACTTTCTACCTTGACCATTATGGTAGGAAGTGGTTGGCTTTAGAATTCACTGGAGTGTGTTCTAACAACCGCCCATGGTATGTCCGTGGACAAATTTTCTACTTGGAGAGGTGGACGCCTAACTTCAGTTATTTGTACACAATCGATAAGCTTGTTGTATGGGCGAGGCTGCCTAGGCTTCCTGTTCGGTATAAGGAGGAAAATATTATCAAGGTGATCGCTTAACCCTTGAGTGGTATCATTAAGGTTGATGAGATCCCGCTGGTTCTGAACGGTGTTTTTGTTAAGGGTGTTGGTTGAAGTGGGTTTGCATTTTCCTCTGAAAAGTCCTCATTATCCATAACGATGATGACCACCCGATTCTAGTAAGTTATAAAAGCTTTTTGAGGTGTGTTTTTATTGTGGTAGAAGAAGGTTTGATGGACATGAGTGTGCAGAAAGTGAAGTGGATAATAGTTGTTTTCTTACTGAGATGGTGTTTGAGATGAGCGTCTCATCTATCCTGGGGATACTAGGGTAGATGAAGATGTGAAGGGGGCCTTGCAAAATGATGTGATGTAGTGTTTTCCTTTTACGGTCCCGCATGATGATGAAGCGGTGGACAGTGAAGAGATTTGACAGAAATTTGGGTGGGATCATCATCAGGAAGATGGGTGGACTACGGCAGCCCCAAAGTGGAAGAAGAAAGTAGAGAAGCGTCAACTGACTGAGGAAATGGGGGAGGGCAGGTCTCAGAGGGATTTGGGCAAAGAGGGGAAAGTTGCAAAGTACAAGTGGACACTTAGGGTTGACCTAGTGCAAGACTGGAGAAGGTCTCCGAGGCATGAGGATGCAATGAATGAGGTAAAGGTTAAGTGGATTTGTGTCTTACATGCTAAGTTTACTATTTTAAAAATAAATTATATGTGTGTGATTTGTTTGTGGTGTGATAAGTATAGTTGCTAGAATAGGAAAATAATTAGGTTCAAAATTATTATTGTTGTTGGTGCTTATGTTTGCAATTGAACCTTTTTTTTAATTAATAGTGACACCATTGTTATGGTTTGGTATATATGCTGTGGTAATTTGCTTGTTCAAGACATTGTTTATGTGAGGTAATTAGGATAGCTGATGATAAAGGTCCAACTGTTAGGGATGTTGTGGATGCTGTCGTGGCTGAAGAAAGAAATTTGCTGCCGCCGCCACCACCTAGGCCTAGAGTTGGAGTGATGAGTCCGAGGAAGGGGATCCGTGAGGAGTTTGTGAATCAGGAGGGACCTAGTTATTTGAACGAGAGTATCTGTAGTGGAACTGCAGAGGGTGGGAAAGACCAGAGTTTTGTAGCAATTTTAATCCTGATGGTAGTGCGGTGGCCTGTGTTTGTTCCGGAATTCCTCTGCAGTTACTATTAATATAATGAATCATTGTTCTAGATTTATTCATTGCCAGGTTCAAGATTTGAGTATGATCATATCCATTTTCTTACGTTTGTTTATGCTTATCATTAGATGAAAAGCGTGGAGGTGTTGGAATACCACCGTAGATATGACTAATTTTATCAACTTCATGATGATTAGAATCTAATTTATCTCCATGCTTCGGGAGTGCCATTTACTTGGTCTAATGGTCATGGAGACATTTATGTAGTATTTGAAAGGTTGGATAGAGCCTTAGTTAATCCTAGCTGGATAAATACTTTTTAAGGATGCAAAGCTTCCTGGTTACCCTATTTTTGGTTCAGATCGTAGTCTCATTTTCCTTTCAAGTAATGAAGCTTTCAAGAATAAAAGATATGGACAATTTCAATTTGAAGCAGTGTGGCTTCATCACCCTGATTTTAAAACGTTTGTTAATGATTCTTGGAAGTGGTGACGATGGGATATTACCTAGAGATTAGTTTAGATCCTGTGCGGGAACTTTCAAGTACTTGGTAATTGGAATAAAAACACTTATGGCAACTAATGACAAAAAAGATCTTCTGAAAATTACTGAAGGAAAAGAATATGAATAATTCGAATGCATTATTTAGATTTGAAATTACACCTCAAAAATGAGTTGCAACAAGTGCTAAAGCAAGAAGAGATTATGTGGCTCAGAAGGCGAAAGTGAATTGGCTTAAGTTTAGAGATCAAAACACAAGGTACTTCCAAACAAAAGCTACAGTAAGGAAAAAAGGGAATGAAAATTTCAAAATTAAAAGTGATCATGGTCTCTGGTGGTTTACTGGGGGAGGGCTGGAGCAAGTTTTTGTGCAAGATTTTAAAAGGCGTTTTTCCTATGCTGTTAAAAGTATAGGAGCACTGAATGCCTATGGCCCTATGGTTACAGTGTTGGTTTCTTTCATGAATGCTGGGATACCATCAAAGGGTCAGTGGGCTCTCTAGTTAGGGACTTTTTATTTTTTATTTTTTATTTACAATGGAATGAGTTTGAGATTAATTAACCATACTAATATTACTCTTATCTCTAAGGTAGATAATCCTGAGGTGGTAAGTAACTACAGACCTATAAGTTTATGTAGTGTGAGTTTCAAGATAATTACTAAAATCATTATTCATAGACTAAATCCTCTATTGGATAAAATTATTTACAAGAACCAAGGAGCTTTTGCTTTTGGACAGATAATGTTTTGGTCGCACTTGAGATGTCCTCAGGTTTTAAAAGGAAGAAATGTAAGGATGGAGTAATGAGAATTAGATTGGATCTGGGAAGGAATATGATTTTCTGAATTGGAGTTATATCAGGTGTGTTGATAGAATTTCTACCACCTGCAAAAGTAGGGATAAAAACACTTATATCATGTATGTTGATACCAGCTCAAACAAGATCGTTTCCACGTGGATTGATTGAATAATTTGTATTTAAACTAATTCTTAATTAACTATTTAAAACAAAGTTTCAAAAAAGGTTGATTTTATGACTTAGAATATTAAAAACGAATTTTAAATTAAAACAATTAAAGAAACCAATTTGAAGGGGAACAATCTTAGAAAATAATGATAAAATGACACTAGGGTTCCGCCATCACCTTAACAATTTTATGTAGTTTTACCAATTACTTATGAATTACACATGCAACTTTGAAGGTGAGGTTTTCCTGATGCATATTCTACTTGTGGCATTCAAACTAGAATGTATATCAAACATGCAACCCGTCTGTGGCATTCAGATCAAATATAAACATGCATGATTCATTACGCTTTGTAAAAACCCTTTGAAAAATCATGCAACCCCTAAGACGTGACATTCGACCTAAGTGAAATTACAACTATCAATCACAAGAAGCAATACTCACTCTTCTGGTGGCGTTCCAACCGAATTGCATCCGATTACTTATTTAAACATTTTAATGATAGTTAAGCATTAAGATATATAGACAGTTTAAACATAGTGATTAATAATTCAAAGTATGCATGCATAATATCATAAACAATTAAATAAAAACTACATATTTATGTTAAGGCTCAAGGCATCGCCCTAGCAAACGGAAATTAGTTACAAACAATCATAAAACAAAATATTATTAAGAATATGGATAGAAAACACGTCTGAAATTCTCAAAATAGTGCGTTATACCTTTACCCTAATGACTAAATAACTTTATTTATACTACTACAATATAAAATCCTACCTAGAAAAGGTCTTCTTAAAACTAGGAAACATAATAGAATAAGATAACTAGGAAATAAAAGGTTTCCTATTTAAACTGAAATTCGGACTTATCAGAAAATCAGACGTTTGACCTACCAAATCAACTCCGATTTGGTTCCAAAAGGTCTCTTTTGAAAGTTTAAGTCGTCCCCAATAAATCCTTAGAAGGGATCTTCCTCAAAATATGTCATCTTGACCTTCAAAATACCTAAAATGTCCAAAAACGTCAATATGAGAAAGCTGCTCACTGGGCCTTTATTTTATCGCCACGGTCAAATGGCTTGGTAGAAAAATTTGGAATTTTGACATAATCATCTTGAAAGACTTACGAACATCTTCCAATTAGAATCACTCCAAAATTCATCCGTTTGTTCACGTTTTGCTCTAGAGGAAATCGAATGTCCTACATTGAAAATATATAACAAAGTATCAAAATTCTACCAAAATAACCAATAAACTATAACAAAGAATAGGGTGGACTCATCTTATGTCCTTCTAAATTTTTAATTATGGAGTGTATCACATCGATAGTCTTTTTCTACCCTCCTAAATGGAAATGCACAGGGTTACTTCTATCCCAAGAGGGGAATTAGACAAGGTGACCCCCTTTCACCTTATATTTCATCATTTGCATGGAACCGCTTATCAGACAACTAAATTTACTTGCCAAGGACCGTAAATCTCATGTGGGGATTCTCTCTTCTCGGAGGGGGCTCAAAATTTCTAATTTGGTGTTTGCTGATGATTGTTTGCTATTTGTTAAGGCTACGACTAAGGGTGCTAAAGGCTATTCTCAAATGCTTAACTAACTTTGCCAAACTTGCAGGACAACATGTAAATTTTCATAAATCTTCACTTTGTTTTTCGAATAATACTTCAACGCAAATAAGGAATGATACAGTTCGAATTCTTCAAATTCAACATAAAACCACAATTGGTAAATATTTAGGTATTCATACTATTGTCCTTGGGAAAGATCCTGTTAATGCAAATGAATTAATTAAAAAGGTTAAACAAAAGTTGACGGGTTGGAAGGCAAATACTCGAAGTTTTTTTTCACTATTACCGAAAGAGGTATGCAATCATGATGAGCTACCAAACTGGTAATGATTTGGGCCCTAAAGGATTACACACGGCCTGACTATACATTAAAGGGAGTATGGTCAAACTAAGATTTTAAATGATTTTAAAAGTGATAGATTTGATAGGATTTAAGAGGATTAAGGACTTTTACAAAATTCATATGGATTTTTAAAGATTTGAATGGATTGTGGTGGATTGTGGTGGAAGGATTTGAAATCCTAGGGGGTGAGGTTAGATTCTTTTTAGTCTTGGTTATATTTACTTTTGGCTCTCAAATCCCACAAAATCTACAACTTATTGAAATCCTCCAAAATCTTAATTTTTTGAATACACTTGAATTTGGATGGATTTTAAAATCCTTTAAAATCTTTTAATTGACTACATCTATATTTTAAAGGATACTAAAATCCTTTAATTGACTACACCTAGTTTTGAATGGATTTCAAAATCCTTTAAAATCTTTTAAAATCTTTTAATTGATTACACTAGGATTTTAAAGTATTTTAAAATCCTCTCAAATCCTACTTTAAAATCCTCTCAAATCCTAATTTAACTACACCCCCATAAGACTTGACCATCGGCCTACTTATCGCTGAGGTTTATGCTTTCGCTTTTTTGTATTGCATTCACAACCTACAAGTCATCGCCCTCGAAAATGCACCGAATAGTAACCTAGTGAAACGACCTAAACCTAATCCTCTCCAGAAAGCCATAGCTTCTGCTTGAATGACGGATGAAACACTTGCGACATGACTTGTGCACTGCAGTAGCAAGAAAGTAACATTACTTTCTCTTTTATAACCACCAAAAATGCTCCAATTCCAGTAATATTCCGGAAAGCCCCGTCAAAATCTACTATTAACTTCATGTGTTAACCTTAAGAACGATGAGATCAATGCTTATGGACAAGAGAGTTAGGGCATCGACTAGATCAAACAATTCAGGTAGGGGTGAGTCAGGGAGGGTAATTTCTTCTGGGATACTTTGTTTAAAAGGCTTGATAAACTTATACATATTATAGAAGGGCTTTTCATGTTTTTATTTTACAGAACTGACAATTTTTTTTTACGACTTGTTAACTCAACAAGAAAATAATTGGTTTTATAGTTAACCGTTAATGATTTGGTATCAGGTCACCTGTGAAGAACGTGTTAACGAATCCGGTTGTTATTGAGTCACCCGTTAAGATAATGGGTTAACCCGTTTGCTAGGTCTAGACATTAGACATGATAATTTCTTGTATGTTAATCCAACACGACTTATTAATGAGTTGAGTCGTTATTGGGTCGTCTGTTAAAAACCAGTTAAGATAACGGGTTTGACATGACATGATCTATTAAAATAACGGGTATGACATGATCACGATCCATTTGCCAAGTCTAATCTAAAGTGAAGATCCAACAGTAGATCAATTGTCTCTTTTCCTATGTCTCCTTGGTGTCATCTTTCTATGATTTTGGCACATATCCTATGAGTTGATTGAGAACTAGCTCTGTTTTAGCAGTAAAAAATACTTACAAAAAAAAAAATTCCAAAATACCAGGAAATACGTTCGTGCATTGGTAATTAGGGCCGTCGCTTTTTCCCATCTCATCTCTCAAACTCTAAGCAAAATCCAGCCATAAGAGCACTCCTCTTTTCTCCTTTGTTATTCGTTAACAAGGTGGGCTGCGAACCTCTACCTCACTCTTTTTATTTTCTTTGATGAACTAGACCGCGTGGA